GTGAAAAGTCCTCTATTTGCTGCTTTCGATTGTCGACCCGAAAGCTATTTGATTATAGCTTTCGTTGTGGGAGCTTGACGGGAATCAACATCCATAGTGTTTTGAAGATGAATATTTGCCCACAACTCTCTACCAAGCAACTCACCAACTAGGTCCAACCTTTTATTTCTGAAACCATTGCACTGTTCATCAACATCTCTAACAGTTGCTAATATAATATTAGTCATGTTGTTGTCGCAACCATCAAGATCAATCATCTCAGAAGCGATTGTAGGATTGCGAATACAGTGATTAGACAGCCATCTGATTGTGACTTCCATCGTAGGAGCTTGATAGGGATCAGCTATCCATTGTGATTTTTAGACAGCCTACACGGAGGTACCCTCTCCTACGCTGAAGTGACTTCCTCTCCAGTCGCCAGTCGACACCTGTAAAGCGAAGAATGATTTAATATGCCTACGTGTCTTCTACCACGCTATCAATCACTTGCCAAAAAATGTAGAGACACCCTCTCCCGTGACGAAGTAACTTCCCTTCCAGTCGCCAGTCGACACGTGTAGAGTAAATGATGACTCATCTTCCAGCTTATACTTTGTCACCGCCATTTGCATGGCCAAAGTGACCAATCTGTCATGAGCCATCCTCTATATATACAAATGTTATTCGCCATAGAAGAAAAGAGGTTCGCAATCTAAACTCTCCTCCTGACCTAAATCTCAGAGATCATCATCTCTAATGCATATAGCATAAGAACACATAGTTCTATTACTCCACTCAAGCTCAAGTTCATCAACTGACTTGATCATTGAAGGTATCACGGGGGAACCGGTCCCTGCCCTCTCACTGTTTCTTCTTGTCTGTGCAGCATGGACATCAAGCCCTAGTTCAAGAACCAGGCATAAAGTCAAAAAAGGAAGCGGGGCCTCCATCATCCTTCATCATCCCGTAACCATCCTCTTCTGGATTATTCTGTTGATATTGAGTATCAACAACTTTTAAATTTAATATAAAGATGAGCTCTAATAACATTTATTTATTTACCTACAGTATAATACAATCTTAATTTTTATTTTTACTGGAGATTTATTTCATAGTTAAGCGTATCAAATTAGTAACTAAAATAACAATTAATTATGCTTAAATTAGGATGATCATACTTTTAATTATTTTTTATGTCCATGTATAATTTATAAATTACTTCTTGATTTGATATATTAAATTATTTTTTCTTTGTACAAATTTCTTCTTTGACTTTTAGACTCTATAATCACCATTTTAGCGTAGAAATGACCTCACTCTAAATGGCTTCAAGCCAATGTTTGAGTTGAATTGAAGTACATACTATTGCTACTATGTGTATATATTTTTTAAGAAAATTATATCAATACTTTTTAAGTAGAAGAGAATATTCTAACATTTAATATTATAAAAACTAAATATAGCCAATTGAGTGATTATCAAAAAAGAACTTACATCAAAAAAGTGTGAATAATAAGATAAAAAGGAAAGATAATGACATTGTCAATAATACTACAAATAGCAAACTACAATATAAAGTTAACATATTTTGTGGAGCCCAACTACTGACTATAAGCATTGATATTTTTATATATATATATCTATTATATAGTATATATTATATATAGTATATGATATATAATATATATATAGTATTATATAATATACTAGTATATATATTGAGATTAAGGGTATCCTTGTCATAGGAGCGGTGTTTACCTCACTTGACGCCTCTAAAATCACATGATTGAGGCGATATTGTGGATGATCCGCTCCGTGAACTTGATTCTAACATATTCTAAAAACCCAACACACCAAGTTTGGGGTGAACGTCGTCGTTTGACCCTTCATCCACTCGTATCAATTTTAACGGTTTTAGAAATGAAAGAACTTTTCACATGGCTCGATGGAGGGTCAAACGACGACGGGTTCACCCCAAACTTGGTGTGTTGGGGTTTAGATATGTAGATCAAGTTCAATGGAGCAGTCATCCATAATGTCGCTCCATCATGTGATTAGAGGCTGTCAAGGAGAAATGCCTCTCCTATGACAAGGATACCATTAATCTCTCTCTCTCTTCTCTCTCTCTCTCTCTCTCTCCTCTCTCTCTATATAGTATATATATATATATATATATATATATATATATATAATAATATATTATATATATACTTTATATTATCTTAAAAATGTCATACATAGTAGATATCGCTGTAATATCGTTATTAGGAAAAATTATTCATGAATCAATATGTTCATTACAATATATAAGCTATGCACTCCAAATTCTTGTGTCTCTTATGGAGTTAAAAAGTTTGAATATGAGCATCTAACATGTTGTTCTCACAATAATAAAATCCACTTAGCAGATATGGATATTGCACATGAGTTATGTATTCTATATACAATACAATTGTCCTAGGCAAGTGAATTATAATAGCATTTTTTATTCACATCGTTTAGGGTAAGATTTAATAGGGACCTTGTATCAAAGAAAAAAAATATTTAGAGCACATAGCGAAATATATCATAATCTTCATATTCTAATTTCGTAAGAAAATAATTCTTCATACTTTCAGTTTTACTTCTATGATACAGAGAATGAGCTATAACATTGAATGAGAATATTAGATAATATAAATATAAGTAAAAAAATAACTAAAAGTTAATGGAATATGAGTCAAACCACAACTAAAAGTTTAATAGACATATTGCAAGTAAATTCATATGCAAAATTCTTTTACGAATTGAATGATCACCCATCTTTTGAAAACTTCAAGATACTAATAAATAGAGGTGTTATATTAGATTAATGTGTTTATAACTCACAAATAGTAGATCACGTGGCCACATTCTGGGTTGAAGGAAATAATGATAATATTTTATTTAAGAGATGAATTATTGAGTTGATGATCAATCCCAAAAAAAACTTTTTTTTTATTTTTACTCTATTGTTATCAATTTAAATAATCATGATATTCAACCACGTGCATTACACGTGCATCTCAAAAGTCCAAGGGAATTGGGCCAATTACAGAAATTAAATTTTTTTAAATCCAAACACTAAAATTAGCTCAAATTCAGAATTTCAAATCAAGTGCATGAATCCAAACAGGCTGTAAATTAGAAGCACTTCCGTTGGACAATAGAGGGACCAGATCCATTATACTCTCCCTTCCACATCTACAAGAATCAAACAATTTGTTAGCTAGGAATGATACACCGAGAAATTTTCTCTAAAAAATAACTAACTATATGGATATCTAAGATTAGATCCATTTGCATCAACATGTTGGCTGCAGATAGGGGTGGAAATGAACCAAATAATTAAAAAATAGTTCGATAATTGTTCGAATAACTATTCGGTCATATTTGATTCAATAGTTCATTTATCACTAAAAAAATATTTTTTAGTATTCGAGTTTATTAACGAATAGAATTTAACCAGGTGTATATTCGATTCGTTTGTCTATTAAATATTCGTTTAAATTTTGATCACAGCTTATTATTTGTATTATTGCACACATGATGTCATATTTTTAACACACTTACCATTTCTACTTAAGTTTTATATATTGATTTTAAGACTTAAATAATCTTAAATTTGTTTTCTAATTAAAAATTTAATTTAAATATATATACATCATATATTATAAAGGAATAATTTTTATTTATGAATTTTAATACTATTTGAAAATCAAACTCTTTAGCAAAATAAATATACTTTGATATTAAGTATTCGTGAATATTTATCAAATACCAAGTATTCGAGTTCGAATTCGAAAAACTAGATATATGAATATTAGAGTCCGCATTCGAATTCGATAATTTTAAATAAATACAAACATGAACACCTTAGTATTCGATTCGATTCGATCATTTACCACCTTTAGCTGCAGATGCCGTGGTACGCCAGCCCCCAACGATACCTGTTGCCTGTAATTCGTGCGACGAAAGCCCGCTTAAAAGCCGTTTGTGGCGGCGGCCGGCGTTCAAAAACTACCCTTATTTTTTGCAGCCACATACTTGTCATCGCTAAGTCGCCACGTGTCCTCTCCTCCCCTCAGCCGGGGCTTTGACGTACGCGTTCTCCCCCCCCCCAAAAAAATCTCATCGTAATCCCCCTCCAACAGACACAACGAGCAAAACATAAATAAAAAAAAGAAAAAGAAAAAAGGAAGAAAGAAAAAAAAAATTCAAATGGCTTCTTCTTTCGTCCTCATCGACCCAAGGAGCCGCGCTACTCGCTCCCGAGCCAAATCTTCACCTCTCTCCGCCCCTCAGGCTCTCTCCCTCCACATAACGAGCCCCTCACCGTCACCTACTCCTTAGTCTTCTCACCTCCCCTCCACCTCCCGGTCTTTCGGACCCCCGCCCTCATCGACTCTTCCACCGGCCGGTCCCGCTCCTATCTCCGACCTCACCTCCCCGCCGTCACCCCTCGCCGCTCCCTCCGCTTCCTCACCTCCGCTCTCCCAAGGGCCAAGGTCGCCTTATCCTCTCCGGCCTCGCCGGAGGTCCCGTTCTCTCACTCGCCCTCCTCTCCTCGCGCCCGTTTCTCCCCTCGCCAACCCTCTCTCCTCCCCCTCGAGATCCGCCACCAGCTCTCCGTCTCCAAACCCTCCGCTCCTTCGCGCTCCTCACCGCCGCCCCTCCTCCCCTCCTCCCTCCCACCCTCCTCATCGACTCCACTCTTCCAGGTCCTCCTCCTCCTCTCGCGCCGCCGCGTCCGCCCGCCGCAGCCGATCAATCGATCTCCCAGACCGAACCCGCCGGCCATCCTCTATCTCCTTCTCCGGCACCACCGGAGATGAAAGGCTCCCCTCAGCCACCTGAACTTCATAGCCCGACCGCCGGCTACAGCCACAACGAAAGCCGACGGCAGTGGACAAGATCGGGACTTCATTCACGTCCCCGCTGTTCCACTGTTCGGCACGTTCATCGATCATCAGGAACGTGGCGATGCTGCACACACGGGTGTTATGGAGAGGTTCGACTTCGTGGAAGATGCTTGGAGGCGGTGGAGAGGTTTAGGGTCAACGTACATTCGGTGTCCAGCCGCGCTGTGGTGCGCATGGCCAAGTTCGGAGGTCGGTAAGAAGTATGATGGTCGTCGTGCCGGACCGCTGTCGGAGTCTGTGCGGCGGGAGCCGCCGCTGGGGAGGGAGGTGGCGGAGAAGTTTAAGGAGAGGTTTCCCGACGTCAGTATTATTCAGGTGATTGGAATTTTACGCGCTGGTCCCTACGGGCTACATTAATGGTGACCAACTCATTATCCAATAGAAGGGGACATCTCACTTGTCCTCCCTATTGGTCCCATATTTTGGGTCCTTAATGAATTTTTAAAAATCACTAATTTTTCAAAGAAATACGCCCAGATCTACCGATCGTTAAGTTTAATGGGCAACTATAATTCAGAAATTATCGATAAAATAGTCAAAATTATACTCATCAGGTTGTTGCTTTTTTCGCTTCTGAGGATACTTTTTGCCGGGGTTGATAATTTGAGGAATAGTTTTGTAAATATTAAGGTTTGGAGGATAGTTTCACAAATACCCATGGTGTAAGGGGTATATATATGCAAATAACCCTTGTTTATATTTATTTGTCTTTGGACGGGATATATTTGTTTAACGTGGTTGACTGGGGATACGGGTCGACAACGAGGACTCAGTGCTAAATGCTATCATTACTTGTTATTTATTATTATTTCTTGCGAAGTGATTTGCGTACCTATTAACAATTGTTTTTTAATCTGATGGGATGATAGGGATACGGGTTGACAGAATCGACCGGGGGAGTAGCGGCTCTAGACCGGATTGTGTCCAACGCGGAGGCTAGGGTCGTGGACCCGTCGACAGGCGAGGCCCTGGGCCCTGGACAGCAAGGGGAGCTCTGGTTGAGGGCTCCAATGATCATGATGGGTAAAAACTAAAAACTATATTTTAAGCCACAAAACATCTTTCTAATATTAACTATCCACGCTGTTAAATTGGAGAAAGAGAAGATTAGTCATGACTGACGAGCAATTTGGACCAAGCGAGTAAACATTCTCAACCCTCTGCAGTGGAGAGCGTCCAAATCTTAATTTAATGCCTCCTTTTGTTCCTTGATGGTTTACGCACCAACTCCACTAGCGACCATAAATAAAATATTAATGCCTTCCCAGTTCTATCTTTTCATTAAGGGTTTAGTGCAATCATTATTGTCTACTGTTATCTTTCTCTCTAAAAAGGTATGAACCCCTTTTTTTAGTCTATAAAACACGTGGCGTGTTTTGTGAGAGCATTTTAGACGTGCCAGGGTCTAGAGATAAACTTCCACTTTGACGCGTACAACGTGACGACGCCGTGGAGAACTGGTGTTATGCGCGATTCAGGCTCGGCTCTGAGTGGTTTGCTCGTCACATCAGTTTACTTTCCTGGTTGGTTTCCATAAGAAATCTCGTGAGCCATCACATTATCTACTGCTAACGTGTTGAACGATTAAAATGGCTGAAGTTACTTTTTCCTACACTTACACGAAATATGTAATCTGCATCTGCGAACAAGCAATGCTTGGTGTAGTACTTGAGCCCACTGAAATGAACTTTCTAGTGGGGAAATAGCTAAGATTCTAAACATGTGATGAAGAAAAAGAACACATACAAATTAATATAGAGAGGTAGGGCAAAAGCACGAGGTTGCTAGCTAGCTTGGTAGTGACAGGAGAGGGCATTGTTAGGGGTATGGTCAACAATCAGCATGGTATGTCCGTTTGGCTCTTGGCGCGTGATTTGACCGGTGGATGAAGTTTTGGAGACCGAGGTAATTATACAGGCAACTTGCGGCCGAGACAGCCCAGCCCACATTGGGTAAAAAAACGCCCGGCCCACAAAATTTCGGGTCCAAACCGATCTGATCCATATTCGGGTCCCTGGCCGGGCTAGGTCCCGCTCTAAACCCGGGGACCGAGAAGCAAGCCTGGCCCACTAACAACCCATCCCACTAACAACACTGTGCGGCCCATCCCACTAATTTGACTTACCAGTGCCTATAACATCTTTATTGGCGATGAATGTTTCCTCACTCATATATCTACTTTGTCATTTTAAATTTGGAGAACTTTTGTAGGATTACCAAATATTTGGTTAAAATAGAGTTGGCAAAATTTATTTTTATGACTACTTTAACTGTTCCTGATATAAAAGAATAGTCATACATCTCCCCTTCTTTCTTCATTCTACCTCAACGTTTGCAATTATATATCAAGTTCAACTTCATCCTCTATTTTTCTATCATTTGATGTCTTTGGATGTGATGATTGAACTTGTCTGTTAGAGAAAAGCCCGACCATTTTTTTTCTATCACTAGTCCAAAGGAAAGACTTCAGCATTGTGAACTTTTAAGTGTGACAGTGACAACAATAGAGCTCTCTTTTAGGTAGCAGAAAAAATTGAAAATAATAGCTTGTGGGCCTGACCTATGACCCTAACCGCATTGGGTTGGGTCAGACTTGGCCAGCCCTATGTGGGCTAGACTGGGTTCAGTCTCACACTCGGGATCAGGGTTCTTGATTGGGCCTGCCAAGACCACCCTGGTCTAGGCCTGAACCGGCCTGGCCACAATCCTGCCAGGGCCGATTCATGGTTCAGGCCCAACCAGGCCCACACCCACCGCCTAGTCTTAGGTTTTTTTTTACAACCATGCACAAACTAGTCTAGGATTTTGTTTTCGTCCAGGAGGGAGGTTCATCAAAACAAAACCAATTTAAGGATTTTTATTTTTGCCCATGGAATTGGATAAAATGATGAGAACCATAATTTGATTCCACATTTGTCAACAATGCGTGTGCCAACCTCTATCAAATCGTCAACAAAGCGATCTAATAACCCAAGAAATTCAAGACCGAATCCTAGTAATCTGATAAAATTCAAAAACTACAAGATCAATGCATTCTATAATATTTTTAACAAAACAAAGATTAAAAAACCCTAGCTAGGACTGACCATATATATAGCCTCAAGAGAATTCCTAATACAATGAACAACTTCCTAATCAAACTTTTCTAATAAAAAAACTTCCTAATCAAGATTTCCTAAAAAAATAATTCCTAATGGACTCAAACTTTCCTAATAAAAAGATAATTCTAATGAGCTCCTACTTTGACTCAAATCCCTCGTAATCATGAATCACAATATCTCTGGTACTCCTATGCAATGTAGGCTTGGGAGTCATCATTAAAACAAAACCAATTTAATGAGTCTAAGTTTGGCATTAGAAAAATTAGACCATGCTGATCTAATTTTGCCAAAAACATCTTTTTTTCCTCAATATGAATCCAAGATCAGTTCTCTGATTTGAGCAGTTGTCAAACCGACACTTAGATTTCCCCAAATTTTCATGTGGGCAGCTGATTAAACAATTCTGTCTTTTGAAACAACCATGCATCCCATAAACCTAGTTTAAAGAATACTTTCTTCGTAAAATAGTAGTAGATGATGAATTCATGTTTGCTACGATGAGTTGGTAAATCTAAATCCAAAATTGATCCTAGGATCTATGTAATCTAACATATGAGTATCAATAAGCCTGATATTACTCACGACTTGCTTGCTTGCTGATAAAGGGTGATATTTCGGAGTCCCGCTTTTAACTAATACGGGCACCAAAACTTATTAGAGAAGACTTGGCCATAAGATGGTATTATAAGATAATCCTTGGATTTCATTTTGGATGTTTTGAGAAATGGTCTAAGTCCTAAAGATATGTGATTAAATAGACTAGCTAAGATGATTAAAACTCACCTTTACTTGAAAAGGAAACTACTGATGAAGTCTTGCAACAAATAGCATTTAATTGCATATCAATCACCTCCTCATTTGTTTAAAACTAATCACAAACCTTATTTCATATTTATTAAATTTATTGATACGTCCAAAATGGGACACTTTCCCACATTATGGATGTGCTATGTTACCTAGGTACTTCTAATCTGAAGCCGTGCTCATGCTAGTGATTTTCCATTTTATCATCCACATAATAGAAGAAACACATAATTGTTATTGGAATTTTAATTATCATCATTGTTCCCATACAAATTAGTAATTTTAGTGTATACTATATTATGTGTATATAAATGTCTGTATAGTCATGTTCCTGTACCCTACCATTTACAAATTGGCCATGTCCCGTGCCTGTACTCATGCAGCATAGGGGGCATGTTTTCTTATTAATTTCATGTTGACTTCAGTTTAGTACGGAGCCGAAGCAATCTTTTCACAATTTGTATGGAAAATTATGACTTGTAAGTCTTTTGGTGTCTTTCATAAGTCCTTAAAGGTGGACTATTTCTAGCTTGCAAATATGTTCAACAATAATTTTTTAAGTCCTCTTCCTGCATGTTCTATGATGACCACTATCCCATTTTCTTTAGTGGAGTCATACCAAGTATTTCATCACTCGCTTTGACTTATCAAACCACATATAAGAGAATTTAGTATAGTCTCAACTTTGATACTGTAGTGGGAATGTGCTGGTTAATATGACTAAATTCTAAGTTTGATCTAGTAATGGTGTTTCAGATCATTTTTTCAATCATATGTCCGGTCATCTTCCTACGTAGTGTAGGAGGAGTCTCACACCTTAGCTCTTTACCAAATTTATATATTCAGCCAATTAGTTTACTTTCTCACTTTCAAGTAGATGGAGATTTTTCAACAAAATTAGGAATTCAAAGCATCATATATATATATATATATATATATATGAGAAAAATAGGTATGCTTAGTAGCAAGCACAAATTTTATGCTTGGTAGTGATGTGGTACATCCCTCTCCACTCATTCAAATGGGGGACGACAGTCACATGTGTTAAGGAGTGCATGGAGATATACAACCATTTGAATGAGTAGAGAGGGATGTGACACCTCACTACCAAGCATAACTTTTTATGCTTGGTACCAAGCATACGCATTTCTCTCTCTCTCTCTCTCTCTCTATATATATATAAAACATAAGAATTAATATTAAAAAACTTAATATATACTATAAACTTTAATCATATTCCTCAAATTTTATTCAATTCATTCTATTTATTGCACTATAATTATTCTTGCAATAAACATAAGACCTAATGTATATCATAAATTTTAATAATGTTAGTCTTATGTTAAATAAGATAAATATTTTACTTTAGATATTAGGTTTCATATAATAAATATAAAATTTTAATATATATGATAATAATATCGTAACTTATATTTATAAATTATATTGTAATTTAAGATAATTTAATATTTAATTAAAAATCTAAGATCTAATCTAATACTATAATATATTGTGCAGTTGGCTGTATTGAAAGCCATCCACCGATGGCTCATATTGAGCCACAAATTGCCAGACCTCTCTGTTGACTACAGAGTTTGAACACACTGATGGGTCCCACATGATTTGGATGCGTTTTCGAGTCCTGTTTGGATTCGGATTGGGGAGTTGTTTGACTAGTTTATATATATATATAGGGAGGCTATAAATAAAAATTGCCTAGGGTTTCTCTATGTATCTTTGACAAGAAAAATTGATATTTGTTTTGGCTTTGTAAGGTAGAGAGATTAGAGTTTCTAATCTTCTCCGTCTTCGTTGTAACCTCTTGATAAATAGTGGATTGTCGATCTTGCCGGTTGTGGACGTAGGCATCTTGCCGAACCACGATTAATCTTTGTCTTTTCTTGGTGAGGTGGTTGCACATCCGTGTTTGTCTCTACAAAAACTGCTTCATTTCTAACGAGTAAAAACTAAAGGGAATGGATCTGTATCTATGCTATAAAAAGACATAGCTTCTTCTACCCTTGATGCACACAAAAACTTATGTATCTCTTGGTGATTCCTGAAAAGATTTTTCTCACAGTTGAGAATTGTGATCCCTCAGTAACGAGGATCATTGTCTTAGTGATAAGACTCGAGGCTTTTGGAAAAGAAATCTAGATTATGATTTGATGCCACGTCTGCATCCCAATTATGATTATCATTGTGTCAACACAACCAATGTCAACTAAAAGAGAGAAGCTCCTATAATTGTATAACCTCACCATCTAAAAAAAGTTAGATGAGATTATAAAAGATAAATAACTATTTAGTTGCAGGACCATATTTTGAACTACCTTCTGTTTGGACGAAAATAGAAGATAAACGTCTACTTGGTTTTGTGTGGTTGAGGTTCCAACCACAACATTTAACCTTTTTTTGGCTTCATGCTGTTATAGAACCGCAGAAGACTTGGCCACAGCTTCAATCACAAGTAGTGGATATATCTAAAAGAATTTGATGATTCTGCAGTATTAGAATTAATATAAAACTATAATATTCGACCATCACCATAACTTTGGAGTTTTGGTTTAATGGTTAGAAGAGCTAAATTTAAGATGATATTAGAGCAACCCAGGTTCAAATCAAACCGGCCACGAATTTTAAGCGGATTTTCTAAAAATTGACACCGCTGCGTGAGTTCAGATTTCAGTCCATAAAAAAGGGCGTTTAACCAGCGTGAGCATATGCTAGAATTAATATAAAACTATAATTCTCGACCCTCACCATAACTTTGGAGTTTTGGTTTAATGGTTAGAGAAGCTAAATTTAAGATGCAATATGAATTCTCATTAACTTTCCCTATGTATTACATCTCCCATGCAATATACCAAACAACTAATTTTCCATCTACTGAACTAGAGTTTTAATACAGGTTGTTAAACTAAACGATATCCGTCCACCATAAAAATGAAAATCTTGGAGTCATTTTTCATCAGCCTATATTTGGCAGTATCTTGACAGTGTTCATTGAGTCAGGAGGAAAAGTGTGAGTGATGGGCAAGTGAACACTGAAACAAGCTTATCAAACAAAACTCCTTCATGGTTGTCATTTAGAGTGATTTTTCTTTAGCTAACTAGCTATGGCTCTTGCTTGGAAAGAGGAGAAATTGAATGAAGGTAGAAAAAGCAGTTTTTAGTGAATTTCAATGAAAAGTGCAAAGTGAATTGCCATTTGAATCCTATAGGAAGTACAAAATGTTAATTTGTTCTGTGAGAAAGCAGCAATAAGCTATGAATGACAGGTGAGGTAGGGGTCCGAAAACGAAAGCGGAAAACAGAGGACGATTATCATCATTCTTTTGTTAAATTTACTTTCATGTGCTCATTAACCAGAATTGAAATGCTATTGAAATACTGAAATACTTTTGTCACTTTTATTTCATCATATAGAGTGTTATTTTATGTTCTACAGAAACATTTTACTTCATTTACAAGTAGACCAAAGTGCAGTAGGAACTGAGGTTTCACATTGAGAAGTAGGAAATGGTTAGTAAGATGGTTATGCACTTGAGAGGCACTACTTTCTCTCTGTTTCAAAGTCTCTATTTGTACTTTATCCATTCAAAATTTTGAGCTCCGAGAACCAAAATGGATTCAGCTCCTCATTGATCTGTGCTTTACCATGTACTTACTAGCGCCCTTCACGAAACCTAGTGACCCACACTGAATAATCCTCACCTGCTTGACCTATCTGATACTGACCTTCACCTATAACCACATTGAATTAAATGGCTAATAGTGGTGATATCTACCGGAAAATGGACGAAAAGGTGGTAGAGACGCATCTTTGGCTTACATCAAATTAAAAAGTATTTGAATCTGAAAAGAGATTAAGAGTGAGAAAGATATTTAAAATGCACAATCCAAAGTAACATTGTCCTAAGGTATGAAAGAATATCTCTGTTTATTGTATTTTATTTCAAAATGTCTCCCATCTGTTTTCATTCTTCCGCATGGCAGATTTATCAAATGAAGGAAGGCATACATCATCTTATGACCATAGAAGGACCATAAGATGGTATTAGAGTTCTCTTATGTTCAAATCTAGTTGTCCGTGTATTCAAACAGATTAACATCAGCAAAAAGATCAAATTTCATCCTGCAATAGGGTTTTGAACATGTGAGGAAGTATGAGAGAGAGCATATACATAATTTCTCAACCATCATTGTAATTTCAGAGTTTTTGTAAAATGACGTCGCTTTTAAGATGCTATCAAGATAACAGATTTTGGTGAATGATACATTCTAGTGACTTTAACACCTACGTTGACATGGCATTCGTGGAAAGCAAACTGAGACTACTTTTACTATTGCCACATGGACCTCAAGTTTCTAGGCTGCCATTTTAAAGCATGTGCCATTGTATCAGCGTTGTATGATTAGGGTTGAAGGAACTGAATCTCTGGATACTCTAACATGCGCAGAAATTTTATGACAAGGATTAAAGAGATTATATTTATGTACTTTCTAACGCTTCTTGCTCCTTGAATACTCGTTTCATGGATACAAGTTGTGATTTTGTATAGACTTAATTTTCCACCTAGGATCCTGTTAAATATACACTGGGTTAGATTTGAAGACAATGGGCTCCGATACCATCTTAAAGTTCTCTAGAACCACATCAAATATCTGATGTTGTGGTGAGGCTGGGTGACTGTTCTTATATTCATGGTAGCAATCTTCTTAAACGTCTGTGCGGTTGAATTTGAATCTGATGGCCCTTGTAATTTCATGCCAAATTCTCTGAAGTTATACCAAGGGATAAATGGATATACTCGTATATTTTATAAGCACAGAGGTATTTTCTACTTTAAAGATTCTCCTTAAATATGTATCCTACAAGATTTAAACCTAGGTGTTACAGGTACCATCTTAGACTCATGGAAACCGCATGAGATATCTGAAATTTTGGTGAGGCATGAGTCAAATTGTTACTGTTTATGTATGTTTGATGTAACCACCACTTAAAAAACATGCCAGGTCAAATTTGAACATTGGTGGGTCTAGGACATTAGACCAATTTCCAACACGAGGAACGAGAGATATGCTCTTATATTCAAATATGTTCGATAATCGTGAGAAGATAAGAGCAGCTCATACTTAATGTGTGCACTGCAAAAACAAGTATTTGCTGAGTTCTGTTACAAAATTATTTGAAATCATCCTTTATCTATTGTTTTACTTGTTCTCCTCCTTAGATTAAGCTTGGAATTAATAATACAGGTTATGTTGGTGATGAACAAGCAACCACATCAACTTTGACTTCAGATGGTTGGCTCAAAACTGGTGATCTTGGCTACTTCGATCAAGATGGATTTCTCTTTATTGTTGATAGATTGAAAGAGTTGATAAAGTACAAGGCTTATCAGGTACTAGTAATGCATGATTGAACAAGTACTTTTAATTTAAACATTTCTTTTTCTCTAACTCAGCATATTTCTTGCCACAGGTCCCCCCTGCAGAACTAGAGCAAATACTCCAATCTCATAAAGATATAGCTGACGCTGCTGTAATTCCGTATGTATCTGTCAGGACTTTGTACTGCTTTGAAAACTAATCTTTATGCTTTACTTAATATGTTCATCTGTCATTGACATAAGTTGTCCATAAATACTACTTAAACACATTAGTAAGTTCAGCTATTTGTTTTTTTCTTTGATAATTTTCTCTGTTCTGGTTATGTTCCTAACTAGTTGATTTGTATTTTCAGAATAGCAAGGTGAATTTTTGTTGGAATCTACAGTAAAAGTAACCGGATCATCAACCTAACTTTTCAATAGGGTGGTCAGCGAGACAAATGGCAATTAACCTTTGGGCACTTTATTTGTTATATTAATCTAAAACCACAACCATGTTTCGATGTTTGTATGACTGCATCTTATCATAATCTATAACTTTGCCATCAAAATAGGATAGGACATGGAGCAATGGCTGCGATACCCTTAACGCGATTAGACTTCGTCAAAGAACTGGACTAAGGTATATAAGTTATTATTTCTTCGTATGGTCAATGTAGCTAGACTTAGTTTAGTATCTATAGTCCCTAGTGGGAGGCCGGACCTCAAGCGTGGGTTTCATGCTTTGTTGGAGCTGCACATTTGAAGCATCTGATCATAATCCAAGACACCTATCCATATTTATATACGAATACAATCCTGTGGAAATTAGAAAGTGGATTGAAGTGGCAGGGTATGGCTTAGGCTTTAGGGGCCTCAGTGGCAAAAAGCACCAAAGAAGTTTTTGAATAATTTTAAAAGTAAAATAACAAAAACAAAATAAAATAGTAAACAATTAAAAATTGAGACAGACCTACTGTTTTGATGGTTCAAATCTCTAAGTAAGAGTAAATGATATATTTGAAGCATCTCTAATAAAAATATAATAAACATAGCATAAATATCTACGAAGTCAATTTTAGGAAGTAATAATGAGTACTTATTAGAATTTTGTAAAGCAGTACGCTTATCCACATACAGTACAGGAATTAATAATAATAATTATAAGGATCAAGAAATTTGTGTAATTACCAAAACATACTATGCGCTAAATGGAAAAATGTTAATAAGGAAGAAAAGAAGTGTCAAACTGCCGATTATAAACGAAGCAGCTACTGGTTTACGCTATAGCAACACATTTAAATTTCCTTCCCCTTTTACTTGGACCTGCTAGCATCAGGTTTTCTCCCACAAAGCCACCTCAAAATACATTCCATCCTTGTTAAACTTAAAATTTTCCTGGAAAAAACATTAAATGTTTTAGCTAAAGATAAGAGCGTAGTAAGTCACAAAAAGTATCTGGGTTTACAAGTTTAACAAATTGCAAGCTATAAATTTTAAACATGAGGTTCAATGACATCTTTTTCCTAGCTTCCAGTGTAAATTATACAGCATTGCATATAACTATTGTCCGATAATAGAGACTAATTACATATCTGAAGTCGAAAGCGCAAAATATGATGGTGCTTTTATGTATTTAGCTTTTTCCACTCCTCTGTTTAAGCAGGTACCCAGACGAAGAAGCAGGTGAAATACCCATGGCATTTGTTGTGAGGCAACCTGGCAGCACCATCAATGAAGGAAAAATCATGGACTATGTTGCCAAGCAGGTTACCATTTGTTCACAAACCAAAAGTCTAAGTTGAAGTGTTTCAGTAAAAATATGAATATTTTTCAGTCTTGTCTCATGGCTTGCACATCTTATATGTGCATGCAATAGAGCAAAAACACTGGAGAGAATATAATATGTTCTCATGCCTGCACTACTAGTTGCTGTCTTTATTATCATACGGACTTCTATCTTCTTCACAATGATTAACATCATTCCCTGTCTGTGTTACTTATCATTTCTTCCAAAACAGTAGCAGTTACATTATATATTCTCATATGAGAATAAGAGATATGTGCAGTTTGGTGTACGAGTTACCTAAAATTCCGTTAAAGAAACTATGGAACGCAATCCACAAGGACGATGCAAAACAATAATCCTGATATCTGCTCACTAAAGTTTATTTATCTAGATAAAAAATAAGGGATTTGAAAATTTTGCATCATGCCACATCTAGTTGCAAAGATATGTTAAAGTGCATTTAAAACTGATAATCAAACCACAATTTGGTCTCATTGTGTAATACCTCCTGACCTATATGTATGTTTTTCCAATGGTCTGGGAAGTTCACTACTTGGAAAATTATTTAAATGTTTAATTGGCATATCTGTTGTTCTTGGCTTGTGCTTGAGGGCATGTCTTAGTTCCATATGGCAGTTTCTGCTTGCGATCTCTTAGTCTACCTCAAACTAGGCCACCCCAACATCCAAGTGAAAATGCATGTAGAAATGACAAATAATAGATTAACCAAGTCATTGAGAATGAAAGTTTGAGACTTCTATTGAAATCTGGCGATCTCATTACCATATCATGTCAGATGACTACTTTACTTAATAATCAAGCTGATGTTTATCGAGCAATTACAACAGATGCCTTTCAAAATTATAATAAATTTACCATTTCTATTAATTTTTGTGCAGGTTGCACCATACAAGAAAATTCGCCGGGTTGCTTTTATCAGCTCAATACCAAAATCTGCTGCAGGGAAGATCTTGAGAAGGGAACTCGTGCAGCAAGCTCTCTCTAAGCCAACGTCTAAATTATAAAAGGTAGAATATTTACTAATCTAAAATTTTTGTTTGGTTACTATATATTTGCTTCTAGATAACATAGTAACTTTCTGTTCTTTTTTACATGCACAGCACAGCTGAAAATTGCAAATTTAGAGTAACACGTATTACATAAGTGTCTATCATGCAGCCAACATCTAGAGGTAGGATTTGCTAAGGGAAAATCTTGGGGCTAACTTTAGGCTGGACTTAAGTTTAAGTGCTAGTAATTTGTGTATTGTAGTGGATACCACGTAGATGTTAGCTTAATATTTTGTGGTGGGTAAAAATGGCCAGAGTTTTAGCAGGGATGTAAGCCACCCAGAATGGGGAGGCCTCACTGAGCAAGCTTCAGGTTGTGCAGGTCTTAGGCCTTTCATGTGGAAGCCTAGTTAAATTCTTAAACCCGCTATGATATTCTTTTTGGGCCAAAAATGCCCTCGTTCCACTTTGTTGTTTCTTTTTTGGCAAACTCAGACACTTCGGCATAGTTTAGGATTTCGAACTTGAACATAAGTCTAAACTTCCTAGAGATTAGATGTACGAAGGATCTCCCTCCCTCCCTCCCAATCACCTCTAGGTTCTCCTTGTATCATCAAAAGAACCCTTAGTTTTGATTGTAAATAATCCCATACGTACCCCCTGACGGGCCTTCCAGCTGTGTTATTCTAGACCCTGTGCTCTCTTTTATCCCTCTCAGTTACTTTGTTTGTCGGTACTTCATACATATCACTCATTGCATTTGTCACCTCGGCTATGTGCAATTTGTAGCCACCTATGAAGTCCGCTCCTTAGATTTTTCACGGTTTCTTTACTCCCCATCTGCTTGGGGGTTGTCACTAAACTGTTGCTGCGCTGGATTGCAATCGAAGTTTATTGCACTGTTTTGGGAATTGCACACGCACGCACATGTATTACAGGTCGAGAACTTTGTACGATTAGGGGCTCAAATAGAATAATGTACTCTCTTATTTTGATGGCAACACATACTTGCCGACTGAATTCAACATAACGCAAGCTCCTGAAGTGATGAGGTTGTTTCTATTTATATATTTTCCGAAGAAAGGTTTTCTCCCCTTGTTTTAACGTCCCTGTATATTTGGTGTGCATGTACTGCCATTTTCAAAGTAACTTGCATAATATTTGCATCAAGCTAATTTTTAGTTTTAAAAGACAATATATGTTATCCCCATTTACTTACTCCATTCTCTTCTTTTGCCTTGCAGGTGCATAATGTCTGAGATACATCTGTAGGCTAGAATTGTTGAATTTTGTATACCTGAGAGAATCATGCAAGACAATTAGCATAACCCATGCTAAATTAATTATTCATGGTGCAAATTTGTATAGAGACTTCCAATAAGTAGGGAGGCCAGCCTCTGCTGGTTCTGTTTCTTTCTCTCAGGCCGTGGGTGAAAAAAGGACATGAATTGTTTTTGCATTTGTCGAAAATTATGGAACCTGAGCATATGCTTAAGGAATTTTGTAACTAGAAGAAGATTTTTGTAGGAACAATTTCAAATTCATGTGTGGAATCTTTCATTTATTGCAGTTTTTACTTGCTTGGGGTATAAGAGGAGTAATAAGTCGCCTGCTTCTCATCAATATATTAGGGTGTTGCGCTAAGCCCCTATGAACTTTTTTTTTTAAATTTATACTAACCCCCCCCAACCAAAAAAAAACTTTTTTATTCTACTAAGTTCTTTATTCTACTAAGTTCACCTTGAAATTTCTCGTTTAATCCCTCTGGTTAGCACCATCAACTTTAAAGTGTCATGGTGCAAATACGACAACAACTTTTTCTAAGCTGAACGATAATTTTTTCTAAGCCGGAAGAAAAACCCGTTTTAGTAAAAAGGATAAAAGGGTTATTTCTTTTTGAATGAGAGATTATTTTCATCTTTTTCTTGGACATGTATTATTTGTTATATAACACACTAGAGTTGATAGTTCTAATTTTGAAGAATAAACAAAAAATTTACAGGTGGGATTCAATGGAATAAAAAAATTTTGCGGGTTACGAGCAATAGACACTGAAGCTCAAGAAGTTTAGTAGAATAATAGAAGTGTAGAGAAAGTTTAGTTTAACACCCCCATTGTTTTGGGGGTCTCTCAAAAAAAAAAGCTACAGTGGTGATATGGAAATTGAGTTTTGCTGGATTAATTATAAGGAAAGCGCAGTAGCACATCCACAAATGTTCAAATTTTTTTTTTTTTTGTTGTTTTATGTAAAGTCAGAACTGAACTCATGAACTCATGAACTCATGACCTTAAGAGTCATATTGTAACCTGTCAACGCCTGGATCATCCGTAGTGGATCAAATGCTAATCTTTTTGCATTGTAAAAAAAAGTTTGGCATTCAAACATTTTTTTTAAGAAGTAAATAAATGTCTTATTAATGTTGCATAAATACAACCAGGTAGTGTAAAACAAAAACATAATACAATGCTATAAAACCTATATCTCACACAAACAATAATCGACATTCAAAATTTTTTCTATGTACGCTGATGTAAGGTATATACTCACGTGCCTTCGAAGGAAAGTTGAGATAATTAGCGAAAGATAACATTATATCATTGCAAGCTATAATAGCACATCATATATACCCAACGTCACCATCAAGCGATACCTATCCCAAAGCATAATACAATGATAAAAGGGGGGAAAATTTGAGATTTAGCTTTTTTGTAGGTTAAGCAACACAATTTTTTTTAAAGGGTAGATAAAGTAGCACATTCTAATTTGCAACTTTATACTTTATAAGAGACTGGACCCATAATTAAGGACGGGCACGGCACCAAATTCTTTTACAAAAGAAAGTAAGTCACCTCATTATTTGTATTATTAAATAAGAGTTAAATCAAAATTATGAAATAAGAGTGTAACTAGATCACGAATACCAAATTATCGTTATTATTTAATAGAATGACAATTTGATAGCAATTCATATATTAGTAGGAGGGTCACTTTAGCTTTAGTCCAGTTGGACGCCATATGGTTTCAACCTCTTCTGAAGGCAAAAGACAAACATTTGCTTTCAATCTTTTATAAAAAGCAAGTAATAGAGGACTCTCTAGTCTCTAATCATATATATATATTTTTTTTTTGTTTAAAAAATCTAATAAAAAATCTAAAATACAAAATACTTTTTTTCCCCAGAAATTTCACTATTCACTTGAAGGTCTATATCATCATATTATCAATGCAGCTCACATGAAGCTAGAAATGCAGTACAGTGCAACAAAATGTAACCAAATATACTCATACTTTAAAACGAAAAAGTATCATGTTTTAAACCTAAGTTTGAGTTGAGTTGTGCTATTATTATTGGTATTCAAAAAGTAGATACTATACAAAGTTAAAATGTGATTCTCAACTAGGAAATACATATCATTGGATGTGATCAAATACAAGTTATGATAGAAAATTACATTCAATATCGTACAAGATCGAAAACTATGAACAACCTGACATAAAGTTAGAAGTTACAAAAGAACCCTGACAGACCTGAAAATTAAGAACATACCTAAATTTAAAAAAATATATATAAACAACCCTATAAAAATTTCAAAAAATAAAAGACAATCTCCTAAAAAAAATCCAAAAACAACAAATAATTTATTTACAATCTAAAATTTACAAATGACCCCTTAAAAAAGCTATAAATTTCAAACAAATCTCCCATATGAAAATAGAAACAACCCCATAAAAAATACGAATATTATAAAAGCCCCTAAAAGTATGAAATAACAAACAACCTATTGAAAAAAAAATCCAAAATTGCAAAGAACCCTAAACATTCAAAAACTATAAATAACCCCCTAAAACATCTAATAGTTATAGAAACAAACCTTTTTAAAATATGAAATTTATAAAAACCTTCTTAATAATAATAAATATACAAACAAACTCCTAAAAATATGGAAATTATAAGCAAACGTTGTTGGGGGTTTCTTATGGGACTGTAGCACTATATGAGAAATCTGAAAATTACAAAGAACCCATAACATTATCAGCCATGTGTATTTATCATATTGTAATACTATTGACGAATTGAAAGGGTTAATATTTTTATATTATAAGCCATGTGTATTCTCATATTCATAAGAAAAGTGAAGTATGTGACAAAAGGAAAAACAAAAAAGTAGCATCGCAAAGAAAAAAAAAATCCTACCCAATTCAATTTAGGACCACAGACACAGTAAAAAAAAAGAATCTCTAAAAAAAATGAAGAAATAATATATGTAAACCAAAGAAATCATACTACTCATGCCAGCACAGACATAACACCAGCTATTAATAGTAAGGGGGTGTTTGGTTGCACAAGTTTATAGAAATTTTTTCTCAAAATGTAACAATGGTAATTCTGTAATTAATTTTTTTCGTAGATTTCCGTAAACTGTGTTTGGTTCAAAAAAAATTTACAGAAATATTTTCTGTAAAGTACAAAAAAGTTTCAAAATTTACAGAAATCAATTTCCTCTCAAAATGAGCGGAAATTACCCAGAAATCTGACACCACATTGACACTTTTATATAAACTAGGTGGAATGCACGTGTGATGCACGTGGTTAAATATTATAATTGTTGATTTTTAGTTTATGTATTTACTATAATATATTTGCAAAAAGTTTATGACTATCATAATATGTTAAAAAGTTTTAGATATCTTAATATATAAAATCTTATTGGTTTCAACACTTTACCTTCCACATAATTAGTGAGGTTTAAATTCTTAAAATATTAATTATCTAAGAGCAATTTAATAATTTGGAATTCTAATTTTAAAATATTAATGATATAAGCACCAATATCTAAAAAAATTATTATTATTAATGAAAAAAATAAATCTTAAATTCATCAATGTAAAATGGTAGGTTTCATCTGGTCATAGAGGATTTTGTTTAATTATAAAGAAATCACTCGCACCTATTGTCCACTTTTACTTTCTATTATCTGGCGACCAAATATTATAGATATTCACAAACTTTTTTCTAAAATTTTCAAAGTTAGAATGTGCAAATTCAATCAAGAAAGAAAATATAAATTATGTCATCATGGTCAATTCTAAAAAATCTGATACTATAATCTTTCTACATCTTCTCAACTAAATAATTAATTTGTCAAAACGACTACTCTCTAATTTTAGAAAACTATAAAATATAATCTGAGAATGATTTAAACATATTTTGTACACATATGGAAAACTATAAAATATAATCTGAGAATGATTTAAACATATTTTGTACACATATGGATTGTATTTTAACAAAATAATTTAGATCTATCAGAATGATTTAAACATATTTTGTACACATATGGATTGTATTTTAACAAAATAATTTAGATCTATCCAATAATGAATAATATCAAAAATTTTAGGTTAAAAAGTTAAAAGAATCTAATAACACTCATATCCAAACTATATGCTTCATAAAGATGAGACATATAAAATGAACAACTTAATTTATTTTGTTAAATAATTTATTACAAATCATAAAAGATAAGGAGAACCATAAGGATCACATAGCTATCCCGAATAAAAATTAATTTCTCTCTGCAAATTTTGTAGCAAAAGATTTTTCAGAGATACTGATAGACTTGCTATAAAATCCATTCTTATAAGAGTAATATCGCATGTGTCTTAAATTATGCTTTGTTTAATGGTTAATTTTAGAAAACTTCCGCTCAACTATGGGGGAAATGTTAACCCCCCCCTCCTCCCCTCCTCAACTACTTGAAATGAGTAAGTCTTTGTTTATCAAATTTTAGGGTGTTGTAGTTAATCTATCTCAACTTTAAAAGTTTAATTTAACCCTATAAACTTTTCTCTATTAACCCCTCAAAACTAATATCGTTAAGTCGAATTCATTATGTGATAAGTACTTGACTTGGAAAGACCAAAATATGCCTCAACCATAAAAGAGCTGTAAATTGGTCGTAATCCTTTTATTATGGGTTGAGAGTTTCTTTTTAACTAAAATAGCTTTTTTCAACAGGGCATTTTGATAAAATCATATATTAAAGTCTTTTACATTAAGAGATTTTGTTATTAGATGTGTAAAAGACCAGGAGAATATTTATAAGATACACTAAGTCGAATGGTATTTTCTAAAATCGCACCAAAGTTGAGAGGGGTTATCTACAACACCTCTATAGTTAGGAGGCTCTGTCAAATTAAATTAGTTGAGTGGTTTTTTTGAGAAACTCTCCATAGTTGAGAGAGTTTTCAAAAAATTAAATATTCTTTTAAATTAAGCTTATTTACATATTTGTCCCTCAAATAATTTATAATTCAATATTAGTCCCTAAATTATAAGCAATTTCAAATTTTTAAGGGAATAATGTAGAATTATTGGATATTTAAAATTAAGAAAATGATATCTATATTACCTTTAAATATTACTCTTATAACCAATATATGAAATATCTATATTGATGGATATAAAAGGTCAAATACTTTATCTTGATAATATTTATGGTTTTATTTTTTTTTTATTTTTTTTTCTTATATATCGATCATTATCGAAAATATTAGCTGTTATAACAAAATCAAGTTATTTTTAATTTGATTGTAGGATTCGTATTGGATCGTGTTTGGAAACCAAAACTAAAGCACAAGTCACAAAATTCACAATTCATAACCCAAATCTCTTCACTCTCAGCTCTCCCAAATCTTAAGCATATATCTTGACGCAAATTCTTATGTTGAAAATTCATCAATATCTGAGATTATAGATTACAATGTTATATTATGTGTGAGCATTATCTCATATGATACCCAGATATTTTTTACATAACCCTGATTATTCCAATCCAATATCATTGGTTTTATTTGTCCAACATTTATATGGCGCCCATCACTTTGTAGTAGTCATTTGAAAACTTCTAAAGTTTACAAAGCAAAATATATAAATTTATAAATACTTCAAAATCTTAAGATTATTCAAAATATGATGCTTTAATTTTCCCACATCTCCTCAAATATATAAATATAAGCTAACCATCTGGCCTCATATTATATGATGAATATTATTTATCAAAAGGATCACATATTATTGCTTGTGGTTAATAAATGCTTTAAATCTTTTATTGGCTTAATTAAATTGAATATCTTACAGTTTATAAAAGTTTAAATTACATACCTCCACTTGTATCTTGATGCATTTAAATATCCTAAAATTTTTTAAATTTGCATGTCTGTACCTTCTATATGCAAGAATACTATTTATAATTTTCCTATATGAATATAATGGTATAACTTTAGGATAATTCTATATTTTCTACTCTTTCCATTAATAATTTATTAACAATCAATTTTCTATTAATATATTATTAGATATTACTAATAATTAATATGAGAGTTTTACAATAACATTAAAAATTTTAGGGACCAAGTTGGACAAACTTGAAGTGGTATATAATATGATTAATTAACAATAATAATTAATTTAGTTTAGTTAGGATTAAAATATAATATTTAAAAAATAGGGGTAATATAGAATATGATTCTAAGTGAAGTATATAATTTCATTTGTCATTCGAAATCTTGAGACTTATTCAAAATACGGTGCTTAAATTTTTCCACATTTTCTATACTATAAATATAAGCTAAGCCTCTGGCCTCATATTATATGATGAATATTATTTATCAAAAGGATCATATATGCTTGTGATTAACAAAGACTTCAAATCTTATAGGCTTAATTAAACTTAAATACCTTACAGCTTACAAAAGTTACGCTCATATACCTCCACTTATATCTTAATGCACTTAAATATCCTAATGTTTTCTAACATTGCATGTTTGTACATATGTACGCAAGAATACTCTTTATAATTTTCCTATGTGAGTGTCGGTATAATTTTAGGATAATCCTATATTTTCTACTTCTTCAAAAATAATTTATTAACTTGTAATTGTCTTTTAATATAGTATTATGAATTATTAATAATTAATATGAGAGTTTTATAATAACATTAGAAGTTTTAGGGCCAAGTTAGACAAAATTGAAGTGGCATATAATATGATTAATTAATAATAATAATAAATTTAGTTAATTTATGATTAGAATATAATATCAAAAAAGAATAGAAATCCTGAGATTATTCAAAATATGATGCTTAAAGTTTTCCACATTTTCTGTACTATATAAATATAAGCTAAGCCTCTGGCCTCATTATATGATGAATATAATTTAACAAAGGGATCACATACCATTGCTTATGGTTAACAAAGCCTCCACTTATATCTTAATGCACTTAAATATCCTAATGTTTTCTAAAATTGCATGTTTGTACCTATATACGCAAGAATACTCTTTATAATTTTCCTATGTGAGTGTCGTGGTATTATTTTAGGACAATTCTATATTTTCTACTCCTTCCAAAATAATTTATTAACTTGTAATTGTCTATTAATATAGTATTATGCGTTATTAATAACTAATATAAGAGTTTTACAATAACATTGGAAGTTTTGGGCCAAGTTAGTCAAAATTGAAGTGACATGTAATATGATTAATTAATAATGATAATTAATTTATGTAATTTATGATTAGAATATAATATCAAAAAAAGAATAGGGGATATAAGTTCGCCCTGTCCATCCGGCCCGGGCCTGCCCAGGAAATCCGGCGGCCCGGGCCGGGCCTTCGGATACGGCCCCCGGATTTTATTTATTTTTTTATTTCTTTTATTTTTTGATAAAAAATGCCCTAAAGATTAGTTTAAAATTTATATATTTATATGAATTATGTAATTTAGTACATTATCTTTATTAAATTTATTATTATAATTTATTATGTAATTTTATAATTATATATATCATATTATTTTGATATGTAAAATAATATATATATATATTTTATAATCATATAACTATGAGAGAGAGAAATCGCATTATAGAAGTAGCCATTGTCCCGTTTTGTTGGGGCGCCCCGAGATGGGGGGCGAGAGAGAGGTAGGAACCTGGGGGTGTAAGGTAATATAGGCGTTATATACTAAGGAGAGAGAGGTATACCGACACCCCACCATCACTCCCTATACCTACCTCTCCAACGTAGATGTATACTTATATTATAATGGAGTTCTATTTACATTATTATTAAGATGAGGTATACCTTTTATAAGGAGGTTAAGCCATACATATTATACATATATAAATAAGAGGAGTGTATATCCTATATATACTTATATATAGAGAGATAGTATTACATATATATAAGATGAGCAGTATATTTATTATAAATATTAATAAGAGCAGAGATATTACACACACATATTATATCATATATAAGAGGAGAGTTTATACTTATATACTTACATTATACTAGAGAGAGAGAGAGTATTATATATATACACACATAATTAGTAACATAGTATAAGAGAGTGTATACTTTATAGTATAGCTGTATATAGATAGACCTATACAATATTAAGCAGAGCAGTTATACATGTATATATTACTATATATACTAAGAGTCAGAGAGACGTATACACCACACAACCACACCCACCACACAACACACACATATTATACATATATAAGAGAGAGTATACTTATATATACATATATACTAAGAAGGAGAGTATATATATATAACACACATATATTATACATATATAAAAGAGCCAGTGAATACCAAAATAATAAATTAACCCCCTCACCCCCCGCTTGATGATAAGAAAGAGGTATAGCAGTATATAAAAGAGCAGGGTATACTTAGTATATACATGGTATAGGTATAGAAGAGAGGTATATATAGGTACATACAGTTACAGGTTAGTACTATATGAAGAGGAGTATAGTATACACGAGCACATATTATACATATATAGAAATATATTATATATACATATATTATATATATATATATACATATATTATACATATATAAAAATATATTATATATACATATATTATACATATATAATACATATAAAAAAAACACTATTCCGGGCCGGGCCGGGCCCGGGCCGGGCACCAAAAAGCCGGCGCCGGCCGGCTTTTTGGACACCCCTAAATATAGTCAATGAAAAGTTTTTCCACAACTCCCTCTTTTAAAGGGAGTATGAATTGACATTTTTCTATAAATTTAGGGCGTGTTTGGTTCAATTTCTACAAATTATAGGAAATCTTGCTATTTTCTATAAAGTTATGAGTCATTTTCTTGTTTTGAACCAAACAAGCAAAGTAAAAAAAACAAGAAAAATGGTACATTTTGACTTCTCAAAACTTTTCCTATATATATATTTTTTAAGAAATACAATAAAATTATATTTTGAGTAGAAAACATTTCCTATAATTTGTAGAAATTGAACCAAACATCACCTAATTCAATAGCTCCTTAATTTTATTTTATTTTCCTTGTTGAAGAAATAAGCCTCAACATAGAACAGATGCAAAAGAACTACGGAGATGCATCTAATCAAATCATTTTCAAAGTGCAACGGGAAATCGTTTTCATATTAAAGGTCGGTAAGTGGTCCCTTTTCCATTTATGGAGTACACCGTACTGTTCATAAGCAGCGTACGATTGATCTTTTTAAATCACAGGAAGCTTGCATAAAAAGTCCAGATCAGGACTTTGCTGACTGTGCTCCCGGGCAACGGTGACGTGGACTACGACACGAGCGCAGTAGTTTTAGTCCCTCGCCACTCGCTGGAACTCACCCAATTAACCTCGACTGCCGTCAAAACAAAACCAGCAACCGCCACATGCCAGCCACCCGTCTCCAGGCCCCCCAGCACCGATCTCCTCTCCCCCGTCTCCCGCCCCGTCCTCAGCCTAGAAACAAAAACGAAATAAAATAAAATAAAAAGACAAAATCTTCATCTCTCATGGCCGCTGACCCGAACCCTAGTTCCGATCCTCGATCCGCGAGCTCGAGCGCCTCGTCGCAGCCTCCACCGCCTCGCTCCTTCCTCTCTTCCTCGGCTTCGTCACCTTCGCCTCGGCGTCGCCGCCGCGCTCGCGCTGTCGTGCTCCGCCTTCGTCGTCTGGGGATCGCCGCTCCTTCGGCCGCCATTATCTCTCTCGGAGATCCAGCTGCCTTCGTTCCAGTTAATAGCCAGGTCGAGTGTTCGAGAATCTGGCGAACCTCGTGTCGGCAGGCGTCGCTGCTGGCGTCCTCTTTGGTTTGCATCTCCAAGAACTTGTACAAGTTCGGGATTAGGAAGTTTATGTTCGTGGATCCGCTTCATGGAGAGGTTCAGAGGTTTCAGAACGAGTATGTGAGAAAGATTCAGGTGAATTTTTTTTTTTTTTTTTTGTAGGATTATGGTTGATATTTATGGAATTGGGTATTTATTAATTGATTCTAGGAGGAAAGTTTGGAACTTCTTGTTGCGTGGTACGTAAAAGACTCTGGATTGCTATTTCGGTATCTGGATTAGAGCTTCAAGCCACTTTTGGTCGTCCGGCAGAATTAATGCACCATATAGAGAAGTAATAAGATTATAAATAGAGACTATTTGTATAATTTTGTGACTTGATTGGAAGCAATTAAGAAAACGGAGGTGATAACACATAATAGAAATGACAACCTGTATACGACCTTAAACATTTGAGATAAAAGGCTCTGTTGTTATTGGTCTTGTTTGGCAAAAGAGAAATGGAGGCAAAATTTCAGTTTATTGCACTGAGATAGGTTGGATAATTGCGTAAGCCCTGCAATTATCTATGCATATCAATTACATGAGACATTATGCTAGTGAAATATGTGAATGGATTTGAACCACTTCAGGTTGGAAATTTTGTGGAAAGATAGTTGATAAATCATTACAAGCGCAGCTTGTGATTTTAGTTAATCAGACTACTAATTATACTTGGATGCATGGAAAAATAATTCTCTATTTAGATACTTCTAACTTTGATTGAAGTTATAAGGTTTATGCTATTTGAAATATTTGCACAAATTTGAACAGAGTCATTCATGCGCCTGAATTTATTTTTTATCCTCTGTGTATAAGTTTTCTCGCTTCATGGAAACATCATTATGTCATTGATACTGAAGATTGGTTTAAATTTTATATGTAAATTAAATTTTGATATACACTTCGAATTTGCAACATCTTTGGGGAGTTTCATTAACGCTTCAATAACTGACAAAACAGTTAGCCATGAAATTCCTTCTTTAGAGAAAAACTGTAAGGTTGCAATTTGCTCCTTGTGAAATCAATAAAGAGGAAATGAAAGTTATGGCTATAAAAAAACATCTTTGAGGAATGTGGTCCCCGAATACCCATTATGGAAATAAGGATGTCTGAATGAAAATACAAAACTACGGTGGAGTCTCTAATAGTAAAATCTGCGACGGCGACTATGCCAGGATTTCCGTCATCCTGCGGCTCTCCGTAACTTCGAGCTACCTGAGAGGAAGTTTAAAACGAAAAGAACAACAACAAGAGCGTCAGAGTGTTATAGCAAGATCACCTACAATACTGAAAAATTAGGGAGTGCCAGAGTCTATGATTCAAACCGGTTCCCTTATCTGTCAAGTATATTATTGCAGACCCTGTATATATACAGGGCAGTTCCTTTTTCTTTGTGCGATTTATGGGAACTGGATTTAAAAAGAAACTCAGAGGTAAGTAGATATTTGGAAACTGGCTCCTCTGTCTTCCAGGATATTTACTGACACATGCTTAGTGTTAGAGTGGTTTTGGCCTTCAGGATCCTTCTAGGTTGGTGATGAAAGCAAGATCACGGATGCAATCAAGCCACACATTTTGAGTCATACATCTAAGTTCACAAGAGTTTATAAGGCCATTGGACATCTAGATGCATTGGATTGTCTTTCAAATGTTAGATGCATTCAACAGTGTACACGGGATGCACAAAACCCTTCTTCTATCGAAAATATCTTACATGGATACAATTCCTCCTACTGTATGTCATTTCATGGATCTGGTTATTCAGGACCAGGATCTACTTTCATTCTATTTGGTACTATGTTCAAATTATTTAACTTTTATGAATTTGCTATCCTTCAGTAATGATCTGCCTTCCTGAACTTCAAAAGCTACCTACTGAAGGTATTGGTTCGGAAAGATAGATAAGGTTATTACCAGTATAATAGCTTTAACAGGAGCCTTGACACTGTCTCTACCCATTTAGTATCAGACCAATATAGAAATTGGCTCCAGCTGAGTATTTGATATGTTTACTTTACCTCTATAATATCTATCTTTTCATTGTTCAACTGAAATATAACAAGTGCTTGTCCTGCCTGTTTGGGTTTGTACCTTATTCTGTTAAGAAATACAAATAGATGTATGCAATGCACCACTAAAACTCGATGCTAATTTTGTTTTCTGTAAAGGCTTCATAGTAAAGGAGGGCATCACATACTAATTTTGCAGGATTTTTTTCGCTTGCTTCTTTGGTGGATATTACCATGCTTTATTATAAAAACTGCTCGAGAAATCAGCCGATCTGTATGCATCTTTCATGACTCATTATGGAGGTCTTCCGTGGTTTTGTTAGCTTCAGTTCTGTCATGGGTGTACTTGACGGTGATATTTTTATCAGCTTGCATCTTGCTCAACTTGGTCTTTAATTTGCAAGTCATTCACTTTGAGGATTACAGTAAACTTCCAGAAAGGGATTCAGATACTTTAATATTTCTGGAAGAGCATGCTCGCCTACGTTATAATCTTTCAAAAATCAGCCATCGGTTCCGGATATTTCTCCTATTAGTGTTCTCATTTATTTCAACTAGTCAGTGTGTGATGCTTTTCCAAACTACAGGATATAGTGAAAAGGTCAATTTTTTTAATGCTGGGAATTTGGCTGTAAGTCTACTGTAAATAATCTTCTTCTTGGTTAATTTATGAGCAAGTTGTTTTTGATATCTTCTTAGACAGAACTTAGGTTGTCTCATTTTCCTCCATGCCACAGGTATCTTCTATTGTTCAGGTTGTTGGTGTTGTCCTCTGCCTGCACTCAGCTGCTAAAATTACACATAAAGCTCAAGGAGTAGCAGCAATAGCTAGCAACTGGCATGCCTGGATAACATGCAGTTCTGAATGTTCTCATTCGAGAGGTGCAAATGGCTCTGGTAATTTGGGGTTTATTCCAGCAATTAGAATGCCAATGGTTTCATCCGAAAGTGATCTGGAGTCATTAGACAATGTTACATTGCATAATACTGGTCATATGTCTCCTTATTTGCCTTCATACCACAAGAGACAAGCTCTCGGTAAGTAATCCAACCAGAAAATTCAACATCTCGTTTTTGTACTAAAACCACAAAAGTCAAAACTCTTTGGCATGATACCAACCAAACTGATAGATATTTTTTACGAACTGCGTAATTGAGATCATTGATTGTTCTATACAAGAAAAGAATTTAAAGTTAGATTGTGACCTATATTCCGAGACAAAATTTCCATCATATGGACGCTCTGATGTCTTGTAAAATAGATAAAGGTTGAATAAAAGGAGTAAAATCTTATCAACAAGAAGCATGTGAAGGGGTGAAAAAATGTTCCCTAATGTTTCAAGTTGTTTCTTGAACTCTTGAAGTAATTAGAATATAAACTTGTAACTCAATTCATAACAGCAGTTCCTTTCTGTCCGGAACAAGCAAAAATCATATTCCATTGTATTGAAAATTCGTAAGTTAGAAAGTTTTGTTTATATATTTGTGATTGTGATATCTAACTTCAGAACATAAACAAAAGTATACCAATGTAATATATTGAAGAAAAGCTTTTTTTTTTTTGGTTCATTCATCTAAGTGGGCTTAAATATCGTTGAAAAAAGGTGTTGAGCATTATATGAAGATGTAGTGGCCTTGATCATCAGTGTAGGGATGGGGTGAATTGTGGGAAGTCTGAGTTTCAAGTCCTGTGATTAGCGAGAAATTTTTTTAGTCAGCAAGATACATTATCACACTTTCATAAACACCTCATCCAGGTTGCATCCTGACTCATGGTAATTATAAATGCTTTATTGTTGTCTGGGCATAAACAACTGTTTCCTAAAGTGCATTTGGGGATAAGCTTCATTTTCAGATATCAATCTAGATGAGATTCCATAAAGTTAGCTATTCTTTTCTACGTTAATCCATTACATATACGTGATTCCCCTGTATAGTGCAACTTCTAGTTCATTTGTGACTAGAACCATCTCATTGTGTTCTGTTAGTGGCTGAGATCTGACCTCATCTCTTCCATTACCCGCCATAAAAATTTAGAAAGTAAACATGATAACGGAGCAAGAGGAAGGATTAGAGAGAAGATTAGGAGGAAGAAGAACAAGAACCAGGGAGAATATTAAGAGAGTAACGGAGAGATTGTATTCATCAGTTCACTTAGAAGACGAGTACTATCCTAGTCCTCTGCCATTTAGCTGTAACTAATCCCACTACATAACAACTAAATAGTAACTTCCCCATTTATCTCACAAAATCCTTTTGTGATCCTGACATATTCTTTGTCAATCTACTTATCACAAACATGACTTTTTATCTTTATATTATTTTATTTTATTATGTATGCAGTATTATACCTTCAGTCGAACCCGGGAGGAATCACTATCTTCGGGTGGGCAGTGGACCGAGGACTGATTAACACGATATTCTTCATTGAATTGTCACTTGTGCTTTTTGTTCTTGGCAAAACCATTGTCCTTGCAAAGTGATCTTCCATGAGTTTAACATCAATTCTGATCCAAAGAGTTAGGAGTCAGACATGCCGCATGTTCTGCTTAAATCTCCATGTACTACTTGCCAAGATGCGTAAAGTGGCATGGTTCTCTGCCCGGAAAGCTCTACTTTCTTCATGGCAAAGCAGAAACGTCAACCGAGGTGCAGCCCAAAGCGTGAAATTATATACTTGGCCGCGGCTTTGTGTCAGGTGAAAAATTCCCCATCTTGTACACAGAATATAAATGTAAATTCCCAATACAAAACTATGAATCCTGCTCCTGGTAGCCTGTGTTTTGTTATTAGCCTTTCTTTAACTGCCTACAGAACATCTCTGTTGGATATGTACAAGGGAGGCAACAGATTATATATCCCCTTTGTTCTTAAAAGTTGTTTAGCATTGTGTAAATCAAAGGCAGAGTTTTTTTCATATGTTGTTTTGTATGTTACCCAAGTTTCGGAGAACTTTGTGAGACTCAAGTCGCACTATATTATCCTTCTGTTTTGGATCTCCATGTACATGTAACTCTGTCAATAGTTTCCTATAAGTTGAGATTTTTAAACATAATCTGGATGATTTTGAGATTCTCATATGGTGGCTCTTTCACTTTTTCTTTCTTTTCTTTTTGCTTCTTCTTTTCTTTTCACACATACGAGGAGCCTTTTGTGTGAAAAAATTGTATTTGGATCAATCACTGATTCCTTATGGGAATGTCTTTTAGAAAATTATTGGATGGTGATGATATTCTCCGTATAGGCCGAAAAAAGCATTTTGATGCTATATATATTTTTTGTCTGAAATATGACCAAAGATGGTTTTCTTATTTTTCTTAGTATCTTAAATGGAATATTATGTCAGCAATGTATTAAGAAAAAACTAACAGTAACGCAGCTCTAATGGTGTTTTGTTGACAAAAGCATCAGTCAAGTTCGTAAAACATCCCTGATAATTTTTTCTGCATACAAATTTTCTTGCATCCCAAACAGATCGTACTGTTGTTTATTCTTTACTAAGCGAATATTGCAGTTTATTCTAACATGATTAGGGTTGGGCGTGAGCCGGTTCGACCCGCGGGCTGACCCGACGTAGCTCGCCATGGGTCACGACGCGGCCCGGCTCATAGTGGATTGCTGTAGACTATAAATAGGGATAGAGAGCGAGGAGTTTGGATATGTAAAATTTTATAAATTCTATTTTAGAGAGAATAATTACTCTTAATTGAGAAGACCTTCTAAATTATAAACTTTTATTTTGCAATAAATAATTTTTTCCCCATTCTTTTAGTAATAAGGATTTGCTTTTCAAGGAGCTAACCCCTTGCAGTGTAAGTCTTTATTTTCTTTCTTATTTTTTTACATATTTTAGTAATTTTAGTTTTTAATTTCATGTTTAGTAGATTAGATTTACTGTTTTATAGTGTAGATTTATTTCATGCTTTGTGGTGTAGATTTATTTTATAGAGTTGATTTTCTTTCTTTCTTTATTTCCTTTATAGTTTAGATTTACTTTTTTATCTTTACTGCTTTTTAGTATAATTTTGTTTAATTTTTATTTTATAATATGAGTAGCTAATTCTTCTAGGAAATCTAGGATTAGGTGAAACTAGCTTAATTTCCTTTTGATTTTTTAAATTACTCTCTTTATGCTTAAAACGATCTAGGAGGGAAATTGTGTAACTTCGGCCGAGTCCAAGCAGTCAGCTCACTCGGTCGATACTTTACAGGTGTTGGCTACGGGTGGTATGAGTTATCTATGTGATTAATGTGATGGTGACAGGAAAAGTAAGGTGCTGACAAGATTCTATGAGTCATTAAGACTTTTGGGGTTGATGTAATGGTTATCCGACAATGCATTTAATGTGATGGTAATTGGTTGTTAGCGGGGGGTTCGAGAATGACCGTCTTACATCTCGGCCTTGCGAGAGGGCCGAGAAAGGACGCCTTTTGACTCGGCCGCTTTGATGAGAGGACTTCTCGACTCGACCCAATGAATGACAATGCACAGAATTGGCATTAGTAGCAAGGTCCGAGTGAGGATGCTTCTCGACTCGCCCTTCTAGAAAGGGGCTGAGTAATGATGTCTTCTGGTTCGAACTTCGTGGAGTCGGATCGACTCGGTGTACAGTTAATCTAGGATACACATCATCTTTTAGAATGAGATTAACACTTAGTCATTTCTATATTATAGCAGTGATATTACTTAGAAGTGAATTTGATAGGTTATGCTTGTTTTGAGTAATTGTATAGTCTATGCTTAAGAATTCTAAAGTAATATGAGAATTAAAAGAGAGTATTTCTTAATTTTAAACTGAAATTAACTAGTGGATTCAATCCTAGATTTTTAGTCTCCTCTTTTAATTTTCCTCCATCTTTTTAATTGTTTATTATTTAGATTTCTTGATTTTTCTCTTTGTTTTCTTTTTATTTGCCTTCTTTTTCTCTATTTCTTGCCTCTTGTTTTAGCCTTTCATTTTGTGGCAAAACCCTCTACCTAAAACACATCACTCTCATTCTTTATTCTTACATATTTCAAGAACCTACTTAGATTAGTCTTTCTAATACTCTCCTTTCACATGGATCAATATATTAAATACTATAACTTGATTGTTGTGCACATGCAACTTAGCATAATTTTATCTCCATCAAGTTTTTGTGTTGTTGTCAGGGAGGGTGCTTGTAATTAAAATTTCCTGATTTTGGTTCTTTGATTTCTTTGTTTAATTGTGAATGATTAAACCAGAAGAAGATTGAAGATTGAAGAAGAAAATTTATTTCAGAAGGGGCCAACCCCTTGAAAAAGTAAGTTCACTTTCTTGTGATTTTTAATTCCACCCTTTAGTTAGGTTTTCACAATTAGAGACAATTATGAATTAATCTATTTCGCTGATTGTTTTATATTTTTTATCGAAAAACGGTAGCAACCTTATTCACCCCCC